GAGGTTTACCATACCTGAGACTATTGAAAACCTGTAAGCAATTTCTGCTATTGTCAAATGTAAGATACTTGGGTGCTTTCTCTAAAGCATTGTGGAATGTCACTGGAGGAGAAAGACAGACGTCTGAATAGGGCTGCAGCTTGTCACTTAATCCCTAAGACTGTGCTGTGTTGAATGACACTTACAGTGACTTGAGTGCACCCTACAGTTCCTCTGAAGTATCCACCTGCGCCGTTGTTTCTTTGCTGAAAGTTATTATGTAGCAGTAAATACAATATTACAAGTCCTGCATCTGTGTCACTGTCACAGAGAAACACAAATTAGGAGTACCTCTGCAGGAGGCACTCAGAGCCACCGCTTGTCAGGTGCATTTGAGTGGGGAAGGGAGGGCTGTGTCAGTCATTGACCATAAAAAGTTACATACAAGATCAATAATCCCCTTTTCTATAAAGCTAGTATGAGTAATCATTCAAACATATTTATTCATAATACAAGGTGTTGTCAAAAAATACGGTGAATGTTTAAATTTAAAAAAAAATAAAGAAATTACAGTAAAAGACACATTGCCATGAATCCCCCTCAAAATACTCTCCCTCTCTTCGAACACACTTATCTCATCGTTCTTAACACTTTCTGAAGTACTTCTGGAGGTCCTTTTTCATGAGTGCCTTTAGTCGCCCTGTCATGGCTGCCTCGATGTCCTGAATCGATTTCAAACTTTTACCTTTTATGATCATTTTGACTTTGGAGAAGAGACAGAAGTCGCATGGTGCCACATCTAGTGAATAAGGTGGATGAGGACACACTGTAATGTTTTTAGTTGACAGAAATTGCCAAATTTCGCACTCACCTCATGTTCAAATCTGTTTTTTAAAATGCAAAAACAGAACCATAAGTGATGTTCAGATCCTCAGAAATTTCCTTAATAGTCAACTGCCTGTTTGATTGAATCATTTCGCTTACTCTTTCAACATTCTCTTGGGTTTTTGATGTTGAAGGACATCCTGACCTCTCCTCGTCTTTAAGCGATTCACAACTGTTGCAAAATCCCTCTAACCACTTATAAACCATCTTTATGATCACAGCAGCAACACCATAAACTAATTTTAACATTTCGTGTGTTTCTTTAGCACTTTTTTGCTGTTTGTAACAAAATTTCATGTTAATGCGTTTTTCGTGATCCATGATTTACAATGCACTTTAAAACTTCTTTCAGCCGTGGCTCACAACCGACTGACTGCAAGGAACAAGTTGGCGCTTGTCACACACTGTTACTAAGGTTCGATGCACCGATTTGCGTATTGAAGATCATTTCCTTTCCGTTAGATGGCACTCAGCAGCAGCATTCACGTATTTTTTGATCATACCCCATATAGCAACTCTTTTACATAAAATAACACCTTTTTTTAGATTCACTTATGAATATTTTTAGGCTATGGTATCTTAAGCAAACATCTCTATTACAAGCCTGTATGCCTACATGCAGGATTCATGAATCAAGACTTGTCCTCTCTTAACCTAATTTTCCTTTGAAAAAAAATGGAAATATCTTAGATGAAAGAAGACAGAAATAGATCTTTATCTGGTGAACGGGGAATATCTTGTCTCACGGTGCTGCTGTGTGATTACTTCTGTGCATTTCCCTGCTGATTCCTCTTCCATTAAATTACTAATGCTGCTGCTATTTAATGTACTGAAAAGTTTGAACTCCAGGCCATTTCAGCGGCGTTGATTGTGTTAATATATCGACCCTCTCAAGTTCTTCCTTGGATGTCTAAATTTTCCCAGCACCACTTTCCCTTGTAGAGAAAGAAAGACACAAAGCACTGACAAAAGGAGAGATCTGTGCATTGAATGTACAGCAGTGTTCGTATCCACCCACATTCCTCTTCAGCATCTTTCACGATGCCTCCTATAAAAGCGCAAATTACAGTTTGCCATTGAGAAAGCAGGCCATCTGGCCATGCCCAGGGTGAAGAATGGTGGATACTGAGGGTGTTAGTTAAGAACGCCTTCACGGTTTGTACCTCTGATATATCTGCTATGCATTCTTTGGTTTCTTTATTGAGTTTAAAGCAGATCTATGCTTTTTGAAGAAGTTTCAGTTTCTAAAACATAATCCTTATTTGAGTGAAAATATGATAAGGAAATTGATGCTCTTTTTTACAGAAATCCTTGCAGTTCTTTACCTGATAACAAAGATAAACACCAAAGCATTGGTCATTTCCACTTGAACATCAGTCCCCCCAACTCTTTTAGCAGAGACCTTACATAGGTATTCTTTAAAAAAACAACAACTTGTGTACTTCAATAACAAAGATAATGTTGTTTAAGAGAGGAATCCTTGGTATCTTCATATTGTTTGCCACTTATTACTACAGTAGCAGGATTTCTTGAAGGAGAGTTATGAGTAACAGGCTCAAATGTCATTCAAACACCTCTCAGTATCAAAGAAGTGACACCAAGTTCTTCCACAAAGTAGCCCACTTAGGGTGTACATGGGCATCAAAACCAAGTGAAATGCAGCCACAAGGAATCCTGGCTCAGATGCCTTTGGGAAAAAATGTGTTGTTTCTCAAATTCATGCATTTCAAACTGCATTCCCATTGACTTGTTCCAATAAATAAGTATTTAAAAAATAAGCAGAAGCTGGTTATGCTTCATATGACTGTTCAAAAATGCTTCAGTAACACATGTAAGAAACCAAATTCAAACACTTGTGTACATCGGCATGTACAAAATTTAAATTTCCACTCTCAAATAAGGAGGTGATTAGAGCATCTCGCCTAGAACATCATATAAAGGGAGAGAAGTATCGTGAGGTGGTTCCAAGAAAGAGGGCTCAGTTTTTTAAAAGAAATTCAGTTAGTGGTCAGTAAGTAAGTTTTGTGTAGTAGGAGGACAACTATAGTTACTTAAGCCAATTGTCGCATATGTCTAGAGAAGCAGAGGAAATAAATGAGCTAATAAAAGAGTGTACAAAATGTCTGGTTTGAGGCCAGGTAAATCAAATGTGTTCCCCAAGCATAGGGGTTAAGAGGCTCAAAGGAAGGTTAGTATTGTCAAAAAGGGGGGTAAAGTGATTAGGTACTGTGGAGAAATTATGAGGTTCTTGAGCAAAGTGCCCTATTTGCAAGGTGGCTGTTGTAAAAGGGCAACAACCCTTTGAGGAATTATATAGGACAGCTCAAGGGAGAGCTCGTAGGTCAAGAGAAGATAAGTCCTCTTATATGAGAGTTGTGGCTTTTGTTATCGGTTGTGAAAACCAGTTTGTAAGGCTGCTTTAAATGGTAAATGTTATTCTTGAAAATAATTTTAAAAAGAATGTAAAAAACGCTACACATTTCCTTGACCTACTCTGCAAAGGGCCCCCATTATATCTACTGAGGGCAGCTCCTTTCTATTAAAAATACAAAATGAAAGGGCGTTGTTGACTAACAGAATCATAAGGGATATGGATCTAAGCCTCTGAGACTATCCCTCTGGGAATAACAGGCATCTACGTTTAGAAATCATGGATGTAGTGTTTAAGGCTGAATATAAACAGCTTTATAAATACAAGTTGTACCCCAACAATAGCACATTAGGCATCAGATATGTTCCCAGAAAAGCTCCTTGTGAGCATGGCTTGTGCTTTACTCTGTAATTGAGAAGTCCAAAGCACTGCATGTACTGTATACTACTGTTATGGTCAGGTAAGGAGGACCATGGCACCTTTCAATGCTAAACGTGAGGATGGGGAAATTATATCTGGTGGTGGATACTACTGTTAGCTAGACACAACATAAATAGTGAATAAAATCAAGTGATTTTGATTATGAATGTTGGCAAGTATGCAATTTCTCCCTATTTAGCTAATTATTTGAGCCCTCTCTTTAATTACAAATGCTGAAGTGTAAGCCCAGGAGCACAATGGGTTAGTAGTGCAAAGCTGGTTACTTCAAAGGTATCTTGGCAGTAACATTCATTGCTGGTGCCCTGTTCCAGGCCAGGAAGACATATAAGAAGCTAAAACTTTCCAGCTGAGGTACAGATAATAGGAGATTGCTAGAAGTTAAATCATTCACTACTCTATCTAAAGCTAAAAAAAGGCTAAAAATAAAATTAAGTTATAGAAATAGGAAATATTATATTAAAAGAAAAAAAAAATGTTACTAACATAGAAAGGAGTTTTCCCAAGGTTGATCAGATTTAGGAATTCTTTGCCAAAGGAGGTGGTAAATTGTTAATTGGACATCTTTTTTTAGTAGTAATGGCATCCCCAACTATCTTTAAAAGGATTCATTACTGGTGTGATTAGTGCAAGGAATGAATCTGCTGCCTTTCAAATAAGGATTTTTTCGCACTGTGAGGATTAATTGGCAGCTGCCGAACTGGGATTTTGTTTTGCCCTCCACTGAATCAACAATATTGTAATTTAAAAGGAGGTCCAGGCTTTAAAGATCTCTAGAAGAGGGTGAGATGAGTATGATGCTGATCATTACACTTACCTGGATACAGTGGGTATAAATTTCCACAACTGCCACTCTTCTGCCCTCAATGCTCTGCATGCAGCCAGACTTAGTTGTCAGCCCCATAGAAGTCTTTGGTGATTTAGCAGACAACTGGCTGCCTGCAGAACAGTGTGCTAAGAGAAGAAGTGTGCCAGCTTCCGAACGTTAGACCTGAAAACTCTGGATCAAATGAATGGAGACAAATATAGTGCACATAAATACAATGACCTATCCCCCCCAAAAAAAAAAAAAGCACTGTGCATGCTATGTGGAGTGTAACATTTCTTGGTAATAAAATATGCTCTGTATTTATTTTTTTTAAATGAATCTGAGAAATTCATATATACAGACAAAAACATTAATGGCCCTGACCTGATCATTAATATTTGTTCTCATACTGTATGCACTCTTATAATGAAATGACAGCTCAGAGCTCTCAGTTTTGCTTGTTTAGTCCCTTCTTCCAAGACACTGGTATTGGTAGTAATTCTCTTTTCTCTTCTATAGCCCCAGCTGAGTTTGTCCAGCACCCACAGTCCATTTCCCGGCCTGTTGGCACTACAGCAATCTTTACGTGTCTGGCCCAGGGAGAGCCACCACCTCAAATTACATGGCTGAAGAATGGCCAGGAGCTGGAGCTCAATGGACATATCAAGCTCAAGAATAACAACAGGTATGATGTAAAAAAAAAGAGGCAATGAGAAGAAGATATTAGACAGCTGTGGCTGCTGTAAAATTACAACTATAGCTTTTATTGCAACATGCATGGTGAAAACGTAACTCCATTATAAGGGATAGGGCAGTGGAATGCCATAACCTACATCAACCAATAAAGCATCAAGTTTTAGCAGCTTAAACAAAAGTTCAGCTCTAGGTAACAAGTCAAATACATGAGTGGCCTGCAAATGTTATTCAGAAAACATTGCAACTGTGCTGTATTTAATATAGTCCATTGCAGACACATGCAACAGATTTTCAACTGTGCTAAAGGGAAGGAATGGTGGATCTTGTCGCATGGTCTTGTGCTGAGCAACTTCTCTCTTACCCGCAGGGTGTATGGGAGTGCTGCAGTGAATTCAGAGAGAGGGAGGTGTTTGGCCTGAGTTTTTGCAGATTCAGTTTTCAAGTAATTTCTTAGTTGAAGGATAAGTACACTTTTAAACAAATTGCACTTCCCCTCACCCAAGATGCATACATACCTTGTAAATTCTCACATTTGACTGCAAAAGTGGAAATATATTTTATAGTGAACATGTTAGTGGATTTGTATTATTAAATGTAAACATTTTGCCTACAAGTAAACACCAAAAATATTTCCACAAGGTAAATTTCACTTTATTATTGGAACCACTTTATTATCACTGTCTAATAGGCCAATTAGAACACTACCATTGGTCAGGGGAATGACCACTGGTGGGGCTTGCTGTAGAAGTTAGAAAAGGCAGAGACCACTAACAAAGTGTCTGAGAAAGATATTAGTTGCCATGTTGTGGTGTATTCTCTTAGAAAGGAGCTTTACTCTTAACAGTTTCAAATGAGTGACAGGTTCACTTTAATGATAGGTGATTTCTGGTAGGTTGTTAATGGATTACTGAAAATCACTGCAGTAAGTCAGTGTGTGTGATAATTATATCATAAAGAAATAACAACATTTTTGGAGATGTCGATAAAGTTCACTGATCTCCAAGACTAGCCCGAATATTGTATCTGTCATTCTCACACATTAAAAAAAAAAATCCACTTTTGTTGAGAAAAAAAATCAATCCTCCTACCTGGTTCTATTCTGAAGAAATAGCTTTTGTTGCATTTCCAAACTGATCCCTGAATGGGAGGGTCTGGGTTCATTGTAATCAGTTGGTGGACTCGGTGTTGTAATGAGGTAAGCTGCAGTGTCGGCATCCCTTTAGTAGTAAACAAACCTTAGGGCAGTGGTGGCGAACCTTGGCACTCCATCAGTGCCAAAACTTCAAATCCCAACATGCATCTGCCTCTGGGAGTTATGTCTGTGGCTGTCGGAGCCTTGCAATGCCTCATGGGACTTGTAGTTCCAAAACAGCTGGAGTGCCAAGGTTCGCCACCACTGCCTTAGGGAGTCTCTCACCAAAAATGAAATTCCTATTGCGGAGGATGCCAAAAATTATACTTGTATCTTAGTGCAGACTTCTAGGAAAATAAGTCAGCCAATCACAGAAGCAGAAAGTGACCATCTGGGGGCGTTGTGTACACCATCTGTGTACGGAATGCCTCCCGGTCACCATATTGCATTGACATTTGAGATTTAGAACATTACAGCAGTTACAGTTTTAAATGCAAAGGTCATTTTTAATAACATTAAATTACAAAATGGCTTGTGTAGCAATTATTATTAATTATTATATTAAAGTGTTTAAATATTTTTTTTCCTTTTTTATATTTTTAAAGTGGAATTAATCTTCAAACACTTGTTACATGGGGAGGGATGGGTTTAAGCATGGCACACCTTCTAAAAGAGTGCTAAAACTTTAAATGAGGGGAACTACTGTAACCCTCCTCCCTTAATGACAATCCAAGTAAATTAATCAAGTTAGCACACCCAAAAAACAATGCATACATTAATTGTAGTAGAAAAGATACAAAATACATTTACAAAGTCCATGCAAAATACAGAGATAAACTAGTGCATACACAATACAAAGTCATATAAATCAATGGTGCAATGAGACAAGTGTAACCAATTAAAAGTGAATGATGGTTTGGTCAGACAGAAGACCCAATGTTTTGTGGTGATTTACCCCTTTCTCAAGGAGGACCTACATCGCTTGAGTTTATAATGGCCGCCAGTACCCATAGGGCCGGCCCCAGATGCGCCACGTCCTGCAGAATCGATGTAATTCCAGAAACTGGAAGTGATGTTGCAGAATCACCGGAGGTGGCACATCAGGGGGGCCGGCTTCAGGGGCACTGGTGGTCATTATAACTACACTCAATGGATAATCACATGTAGGACCTTCTTGAGAAAAGGGTAAATCACCCCGAAATGGTGGCGTCTTCTGGGGCAACATTTTTGGTCTTTTGCCTAACCAACCCATCATTCACTTCTATTCGGGTACGCTTGCCTCATTGTACCATCTATTTATTTGACTTAGTATTGTGTAGTAGACATGTGCGATTCGTTTCGCTCCGAATCGAACTTCGGACGAAATTACCGGAGATTCGGAGATTCGGATGCAATCGAATTCCGAATTACAGCTAAAACGAATACAAACGAATCCGAATTCCTGATTTAGTCGGTAGTCCGGTCGAAATTTCGTTTTCATTGCGGGATTCGGACAAAATTCGTTAGCGGTAGTCCGGTCGAAATGTTGTTTATTGGACGAAATTTCGTTAGCAGCAAACTGACAGAAAAAAAAAGGTTTTTTTTTTTTACAGTCTGCAGAAGATGAAAAAAAAGTGTGAGGTTCCCCCCAATTCATACCAGACCCAAAGGGTCTGGTAGGAATTTTAGGAGGGACTCTCCCCCAAGTTAAAACAAAAACAAAAAAAGCGTGAGGTTCCCCCCAAAATCCCTACCATTTCAGCCCGAATGTCAACAGGTGACATTCTCAGCCGTCAAATACTACATAGCATTCGGGAACTCCCGAATACTATTCATGAGTTTCCGAATGCTATTCGGGTCTGTGAGCCGAGGTGTCATAATGCTTTTCATAATGCTTTTCATATGACACCTCAGCTCACAGACCCGAATAGCATTCGGAAACTCACTCACGGCGAGTTTTCGTCCGGTTCGGGTGGTCGTCGTGCGGCGGGACTTTTTTTATTTCAGCGGGTCGGCGGGGGTCGTGCATCTTGATTGACGCTGGATTACATAGATGGAGCCATTTATTTAATTTTTTTTTTCATTAAAGGAATAGTCAAAAATGGAGTCTTTGTTTTTTCTTCAATTAAAGGATTTTACCTAAAAGTCTGGACTTTTTACTAACTATTTGATTTAACCCTTTAGTGAATGGGTACGGGTGCAAGTACCCCTTACTCATTCACAAGGGGAGGGCGGCATCTGGGAGCCCCCTTACTTAAAGGGGTACCCCGATGCAAATAAGCCCCCTTGCCCACAGACCCCCACAACCTAGTTAGGACCCCACATTTCCCCCCCCCCCATTTTTGGAGGCTGGGGTTCCCCCTTAAAATTCCTACCAGACCTGAAGGGTAATATTAGTTTATTGTAGTAGAACATGTATAACAGGGGTAGGCAACCTCAGCACTTCAGCTGTTGGAAAACTACAAATCCCATAATGCCTCTGCCTCTGGTAATCATGCCTGTGGCTGTCAGAGTCTGGCAATGCCTCATTGGACTTGTAGTTCCACAACAGCGGAAGTGCAGAGGCTGCCTACCCCTGATGTATAAGAAGATTTCTGAATTAAAACTGAGTGCTGTTGCCCTTTGCACCTCATCAGAGCTCTGTACACCACCTTACTTATTTTTGAAACACTTTTCCAAATCCCAATTACTGCCAGGAATTTGATAAGTTTAGGTTTATCTCTGCCGTAATCTTTTCCCGCTATTATGGAATATGAGTAATCTTGCACTCGCTGGGATGGTAATATTACTGAACAGCATGACCCCACTCAGGGTTGTCATCTCGCCTCTTGATGGTCTAAGCTGCTTCACTTTCTGGGGTCACACCCAGCCAGGGAGGTGGTTGTAATCCTGGCCGATAGGGACGGGGTACAAGTATCCAGGAAACATCACCATGGTAACCCGTAACTAGGGCTCTGAGCTGTATTGATCCCCCCCCCCACCCCCCACCCTCTCCATGTTAATTAAAGTCTTTCATTTCAATAGAAAGAGGCCTCGAGCCAGAAGGGTCCCTGACTTCAACTTTTAGATGCTTAACCCCTTGACTGAATCACTTTAAAAGCCCTTTGCTAACGATGATCACATCATCGGCAAGGAGTAGGTTAAAGCAAATGCCTCCCATGTAAAGTTTACCAGTGACAACAGTGGTAAAGCAAAAGCAGTATAAAGCGGCCATGTTTTCATTGCTTGTCGTCCCAGTGACCCAAGAACTCGGGGGTCTGTCGTTTTTTTAACTCTCAGGTTTGGAAAAGGTTAACCGAGATTAATGAGAGGCTACCATACATTTGCAAGATTAATCAAGCAAGACCATTACCTAATACATAGGATAAAACCAGACAGATCATTGTAATTCCAGCACAAAGGAGAGAACAAGCAGATGTAGTGTCTAGACAGACAAAGGGAACTTAATGTTCTGTATAAAATTACATTATTAATTGATAATATGATAACTAGCTGTCATTTGTAATCACTCTATCACTCTGCCCCGCCTGGTGATTTGTGAATACATACCACCTCCTCTGCTGGGTGCTTGTATCATGCATCTACAACAGCTTTTTCCAGTTGGGTTGTCCAGTGTCTTTCTGTGCAATGTCTAGTTCCTGATTAATGCATCTAAAGGACATATTAAAACATCAGCTAATTTATCATCAAGGTCATACAAATGAAAATTGCTGCTGATGGGGGATATAACGACCTCTTTATAACCCTTCTATATTCCCATTCTGTTATGTATGTTAAACCATTACGTTATTAGTTTAGGAATTTCACGTGTCATTGAAGGGCTTCGGTGACAGTGAACCTCTGGACCATTCCTAATTTTACATGTGACATCTGCCCTCACACAGTGCAACCCTTGCTTAGACAATTCAGCAGTTGTGGTCATTATATACAGCATCTATCTAGCTGTTTCACTGATAGATCTGGTTGTTTGAATCAAAAACTTCACTACTGTATTCAGGAGAGAAATACTCTCAATCATGATTGTCCTGAAGGAGGATAAAGTTTCTGAATCTATTACAAACAGGGAGTTTTTGCTTCTATAACATGTACTTTTTATGGCTAAGTACTCTTGGGCATTTTTTTATCATCTCGTCTTGCATGTGCCAGCCTGAATATTGTGGCATTTAGTCAGCTTCACCAGGCATTTGCAAGTGCTTAGTAAATATCTGCAGGAGCCAGTCAAGTAGTCTACGGGAGCTGGCAAAACCCTCTCAAAGTGGAACTCTACCTGCTTTCACTAAAATGACATCAACATACATCTCCGCTTGCTGATATCAAATCATTTTACATTCATTAGTTTAAACATTTTTTTTTTTGCTTTTACTTACAATTACTGTTTTCCACTTCTTGGTTGAATGGGGCACTGGTGATGTAGCCCTGGCCTCACAGATGCATCCTGGGAAGGCGACATCACCAGTGCCTTCCTGGGAAATCTCATCTGTAAACTGCAAAATCTCATGAGATCTCGGAGGAAATGCATTTTTTTCCCCCTGAGATATTGTGCATAGTCAGATGTGACATGTGCCAGAATTACAAGAAGTAAAGGCAGATGGATTAATCGGCCCTTAGCAAAAATGCCTATGGTGAGAAGAATGGGGAGGAAAAGAAACAAAATATATGCAAATAATAAAAAGTCTGCAGTTATCTCTAAGTATCTGTTTGTAGATTGTCATTATTAAACATTTCTAAAGGTGCCTTTGTTGTAATTGTTAAGATAAGGGTGAAGTTCCTCTGTAAGTCTGCTGTATCATTGTTAAAGCAAATCTGCGGGTAAAGAAACCGTTATGAAACTGTCATGTCATATTCTCTGTAGAGTGCTCTTGATGCCGCAAGTACCGTGGTGATATGTGTGATACACCTGATAGGTAAAAAGTTATTCGCTCTGATGGTCGTAGGCTCTAGCACATACCCTTTCACCTCCTGCACCTTCTTATTTGCCCGATACTTTGACGTGTGGCTTCACAAACCAGTATTAAGGTGCAGGAAGTGTGAACGGTCTGGCAAGAACTTACTACCAGGGGAGCTGGTTGTAGTTTGCATATCACAGCTCTTTGATATGTGATGCTCCCAGTATGCCCTAAAGCAGGGTTATCTAAGCTTCGGCCCTTCCGCTGTTGTGGAACTACAAGACGTTGACAACCACAGGTATGACTTCCAGAGGCAGATGCATGTTGGGATTTGTAGCTTTTCCACAGCTGGAGTGCTGAGGTTTGGTTACTCCTGCCCTACAACTGGCAACTGAAAGAGACGTGCTGGCACCTGAAGATGCCGGCTTTAGACATGAAGAGGCAAGTTTATTTTTTTTCCACCCATGGGTACACTTATGGCTCTTTCTTGCTCTGGTGTGTGATTAGAAGGATTTGAGAAAGCTGCTTGACTCTATTTTAATTGCTTTGTAAATGATTGCTTAGCCTGATGCTCGCTCAGACTGGCATTTCAAGCCAAGATTAAGCTGTTTACTTGTAACACATTTAAACTGCAACACACTGTCACGAGAGCATATTGGTGGTTCATCTTCCTTTTTTTAGACTTATTCAACCTAATATACTATTTAGAGAAGCTATACAGTAAAATTAAAGAGCAATCACTAAGCCATGACATTTTTCCAAAGTTAATTTTGATAGGGCAAAGGAATACACTTATTAAACCCTACTGATTGTTTTCAGAAGGCCCATTTGCTTATATAAAGACTTTATAAAGGTTTTTATGTGCGGAAGTTCAGTTCATGATTCTATGTTAATTTTCTTGCACTTGTAGCTCTTTAACTATCTCCGGGATCAGCCAGGAGGATGAGGCTATTTACCAGTGCATTGCTCAGAACAGCGCAGGTTCCAGTCAAGCCAGTGCTCGGCTTTCTGTAATATGGGCAGAAGGACTGCCTGGGGCACCTCAAGATGTCACTGCCACCACAATATCATCCACCTCTATCCAGGTATCCTGGATTGAGCCTCTAGAGAACACACAGGAAATTATTGGATATGTAGTGCACATCCGCAAAACTGAAGGTACGTACTTCCGTATGATGAGCTAAGCAGACCTAAAGGGTGTTATGAGAGGGCAGTCCAATTTTGTTGGGGTTATAGATTAAGGTACTCCAATGATTTATTGTCAAACTGCTGTGAATGAAAAGAGCAGGGGAAAGGGACAGATTTTGTTCTTGTTTCTGCCAATAATGAAGCTTCAGGTCAAAACCTACATACATAGCTATAATACAGTACATAGATGGAGGCTGTTTTACCTGTCAAGGGATTTGTATCTCTGTCCATCTAGTTTTGAGACACAACCCTGCCAGACTGTACAGTAAAGATGATGGCCTGACCTTTCTCATAGGTAATGAAGTTAAGTCACTTCCCTCCCACTTGCCATGAGTGAACAGTGAAGGAGCAACAAAAGACTGTTGACATCACTCCACTCCCTCCTCATGTCAAAATCTTCCTTGCTAGCACACATGCATGCAGCATATTAGATTGGCTCCTAGTGCTTCCCCTCCATCTCCCAGTCTATGATTTACAGTGCAGGGGATTACAAGCACTGGGGAGGATAGCTGGGAAGAATAGAGGAAGCTCGCGGCTTTCTAACGTTAAACTTGGAGCATGTGCAGATTGAGTGGCAACGCAGAAGACTGGAGATTGCCTGCAGTAGCATTGCCACTCTGCATAGGGAACTGTTGAATGGGAAGGATCACGAGCTCAGTATAAAGTAATAATAGATTCTGTAAATAAATGAACAGCACACATAGTCAGACACATAGTCAGGGAGGGGGGGCGCACCATTTTTTGTTCTTGTCTCAGGAGCTTGCGAAAGGAGCCAGCTAAGGCTCTGGGTAACAGCATGTGACGTCATGGTAGGGTGTCACCTGGTGGCCGCTCCGGTTGACGCCATGCCTTGGGACGCCTCTGACTACAATCTCACGTTTAGTTCACTAGTTTGTATTGAGATTGTTGTCCATCACGGGAGCGAGCTTGGATCTGTGGCTACTTTACAACACATACAGGGACCATGCAGAACAAAAGTAGCCACCCTCCAGAAGGAAGGTACCAATTCAGAGATGATTTGAGGATCTGCAACTGAGTGATAAGATATAAGATATAAACAAATAAGATACATTTTTGTTAATAGGGTACTTGAATGGATTTTTTAGGATTTAACTCCTGAGTTTAGTGTCACTTTGAATTTAAGTCTGGAATATTATACTTTCTGCCAATATGATGGTTCATAAATTACAGTGGCCATTGCAGTTTGTAATCCAGTACGTTTTAGGTTTCATGAAAAGGGAGTACTTGGTTCGAAATCCTTACATCTGCTAAGTGTCCCCATGGCTCTAGGGGCAAGGGGTATGTTGAGCAAAGCATTTGCTTTGCCTTGCGCTGTCTCTAGAGTTGTCTGCCACATCTGTCATTCACCAAATGTACAAGCCCCTTGACTGTCATCACTATCTCCATCTGACAGAACCTTGCAAACCTGCCAGAATGCTGCCCAAAGTCACACAAAGGCTGCATATTTTTTGCACTGAGGTCTGTGTGAACTGAGCCTAAGTGTTTGTTCTAGAGATCTGCAATCATTTTCCCGGCTGTGTACACAAGGTCATTAATCGCAAAAATTTGGGCAATTTGCATCAACTATCTCCCCTAAAAATATGGGATGAATTTAACCTGTTTTATGCTGGTCAAGGTTCTTTGCAACTAGATACCAGTACAGTGATCTCAAAATCAATACAGACCAATTCCATAACTGGCCTTTCCTGTTATGTCAGACATCTACAGAGAAAAACATGTGGGTTATCTGGATTATTGCACACATGGTAGCTACAGTGCAATCTAATCTTCTTAGTCATACAGAATTACTTAATATACATGGTACACGGTGTGATTTTACTGCGATTCTCACGAACCAATTAAATTGTTTCCACGGTTAGGCTGCAGCCTCTAGTTACTACGTTAATTTAGTAAAATTAGCAATTACAAAGTGGGCACTGGGTGTACCTGAATCATTCAGGAGGCTGATTTTCTAAAAGAGATATGAATCTTAGTTTAAAAAAATGGTGTGAACATTCATTTCAATCCTTTTTCTCCATGAAGACCTGTGAAGCCTCCTCAGGCTGTAGGTGGAGATGCAGGGACGATTGGCATCTCTTGAGACTCCTTGGGCTGGGGGACGTGGCAGCATGCCTGAGGGGGGTGTTGGCATGGCGTCCTGTAGCTGCAAAATAGGATGAAAGGATGCAGGCTGAGCATGGTAGAACTGATCTGTCTGGTGTGGTCAGTTGCAAACCAGAAAGGGTTTTTTCAGAAGAGGACTGGCAGGATAATCATCAGGTATTTGCTGCTTATTATAGGTCTTAGCCATATTTTAGGGATTACAATGGGTTTAATAATGCAAAGTAGTCCACAGCTGTGTTTTTTAGGGATCACATACACTTTAATGCAGAGCCCTAACTGCCTAAGTAATGGAGGACACCTCCCGGCTTGGGTCACAGGCATCGATGAAGACCCAATGGGTAAAGAAGCCTTGGCCCACTCCACGCAAAAGGTTACAAATCCAAAGAATTTGATGCTGCCGAATATCTTTTTAATTCTAATTACAGTAGTAAATGCTAGAAAACATTATCATTGACCTCTTTAGCAATTTGTATCTGACACGCATTATGATTTTTGTGTTTTTTTCTAGATCCTGTTCAAATGGAATATCAAGAGGCTGTAAGCAAAGACACCTTTCAGCAGATTGTGACAGACCTGGAGCCATCAACAACCTACAGCTTCTATATTAAAGCATATACTTCAAGAGGCGCAAGCAAGGCATCCGCCGCTGTGGTGCAGAGCACGGTGGGAGAAGGTATGGAATACAGCTCTGCATGTGACATCATTAAACAAATTCAGTAAAACACTGAAGTAAATCCTAACTTAATAGAGTGGCAGTGCATATAATGGACCCATTCTAGAACCAGATTTCCAGCTAGGTATGTCAGGTTTGGGCAGAGTTCCCTGAGGGACACTTGTCCCTGGACCCCCTACTGCCATTCCTTCTCCTCTCTGCTTTTACCTACTGTACTGCTATAAAATGCACCATCCATCCAGACCTAATACACCAGGGGCTGAATAACTGCTGTCTCTTTGAATAGTCTCTTCAATTGCAGTCTAGAGCAGTCTTTTCATTACTGTGTCTTGTTGTGCATCCTGCTCCTGACCATCAGGACACATAGCCAATCAAATGAAAAGAAGGCTATACCGCTTACCATTTAAAAGAACATCACATACGATGGCAGATCTTCTGGGCCCACTGCTTGAGGTTGCTGTTAAAAAAGAGTGGGTAGGAATAGGAATTTATGGGGTAGTCACGCTTATGTTAGTTTACACAGCATGTCCTGTCTAGGGATGAGGTTCAGGTTCATAGCAAATCCCTGGGATTTGCAAAGCTTGCAAAAAGTTGCCACTAGAAATAAGGAAAAACCTATAAAGCAGTACATAGCATTTGCTCCTGGTCAGCTGAATCACAAGAGCCAGCAATTTGAATGAAAAGCCAACCCAGCCTCCTTTCTATAAAGGGTGGGCTCACAGCAGCCATATTATCAGTGTGTGCTGTTAGGGAGAGCTGACAAATCTTTGTAGGATGAAATTAAAAGAGAACTATAGCAAAACCTTTTTTGCCCTAAGTTCTCTTTTGGGTCACAGGAGGACCTTTACTAACGTCCTCTTGTGACCCAAAGTCAGCATATAGCGGGCATACAGCCCACTATATGTTGACAGCAAAGAGTCAGCATATAGTGGCTGTAGCTGACAATGTTGTCGGGACCCACCCCGCTACCTGACTGACAGTTGGCTCTGCCTCTCTAGAGCCAGAGTAAGCTGTGCCCACCCCCTCCCCTCTCTGTCCCTCCAATGAGCACTGGAGGAACAGAGAGGGGAGGGGGGAATCCCTGCAGGGAGCAGTGACTGACATGGAAAAGCTGTGAGCTGAGCAATCAGCGGTTTGTGATCACTGAGCTCTTGCTCTATAAAACTGGTGTGTGACAGCTGCAGTGTCACTTGCTGGCTTTAAGTATTGGGAAGAATATATTTTACTCTCCCAATACTCCTTTAAAGTAGGTATTGGTACTTGCCCCCATGGCAGTCCCCGACTTCCCATGTTTTTTTTGTTTGACAGCAGTTTAGTTAATTGCTCTGCAAATGGCCAGAGTTCAGTAATTAGATGCATGGCTGTGTGTTCTGGCCAGAATCGGTCCGGAATGCACTGCATCCGGTTGTGAAGGAGGCCTAAAACATCAAGAAGCTGCATCATTGTAAGTGATTTAATCAGCATTTGAAATAGTCTAAAAACCTCTTGACTTCAATATTACTTTAAACATTACCTAGAATGTCTGCATTGTTCATGGAAAAAATATCTAGGTCCACTTTAATAAACAGAAGGATTATAACAGTATGGATTAGAATGGATTAATAATAATGATAATCATACATATTAAGTACCTATTCTGCATAGTCTATCATACATATGAATATAGAAATACATATATGTTGCAGATTTTGCAGAACATTTCTTTTATTTGCATAAAATTAATTATTGAGTCCTATAATGTAATCTAGCACTTAAAAAAATTGTTTCCCAAGATTACATAATGTTTGCAATTCACATTTAGTTACAAATGAATATCGCGGAAAATTGAGAAAGCAATTCACTCTTCACAGGCAAACCTGAGAACAAACTGGTTTGAAATGTGTAGTTTCTGTCACTTATTTTTAATGAGAAATGTCATCAACAAATTTCACTCTCCTCTTTCTTAATGACATGACACGTAGGAGTAAGACTCAAAGGAAGAAGCTGCACACTACAGTCCACCAGCAACAACAGTTTTTTAATCCATAAGACTAAGAACTGCCAGTACACTAGACTCCCTACTTAGAAGCTGCCTACTCTAACGCATTTCCCCCATTTAGAGCTTAGTTGTAGAGAAATGCGTTACACCAGACGGCTTCTAGGTGGGGTGTACTGACAGTTCTTAGCCTTATGGATTTCCCTGCTGTGTAGCCTGCTAAAAGCCAAACTTAATGGAGAAAAAGTTGTCAGCTTCAGATTTGAAGCTGACAGCTTTTACCTCCATAATACTAGGTGAAGCTCTGCCTCACCTGCCTCCCCTGACCGCATGTTCCTGCTGTAGTGTGCGGCTTCTTCCTTTGAGTTAATGTGTTAGATCGTGGACAGCTCCCAGCCTGCCTCCATGTGTGCCCTGGTGCTGGAGACTAAGTGTAGGATGGATCAATGATGTCTTCTTTACATTAGTATACCGTATGTAGACGTAAGACATTGAGCTACATGTAACCTTTCAGCACCAATCAGCTGTATCGTGTGCATTAAGGATTGTTTCTGTATAATAGCTTCTATGTGCAATGAGCAACCTCTATGAGCTCCTCACACTTTCATTAATATATTTAGAGCTGCCTGGATCGTAGACTTGAAACAATCTGGACATATACATCATTTAACTGTGATAACCCCGTGAATATAACACATGCTTAGTTAGTCACTATGTGTGTGGTAGGAACATCCTGGTCAGAACACTATCTACATGGCATTTGCATGTTCTACCTGTGCTTATGTGGGTTTCCTCTAGTTTCCTCACACGCTGCAAAGACATGCTGGTAGGTTAATTGGCTCTTGTCTAAATTGGCCCTGTGTCACGTACCTGATGGAGGCCGAGTGATGCATCCCTGCAATCCCTGGAGACAGGGTAAGCAGGAGCTTGGAGATGCATGAGTGCCTGTAGCTGGCTCAGATGCAGCAGGATCAGAGGCAAGCTGAAAGTCAAACACAGCTGGGCAACTCAGGGAGTAAGCCTGGAGCCATGTCATGAAGCAAACCAAGGTCAAGCACAGCCGGGGATAGACGGTACAAAACAGCAACCACAAAGTTTAGTCAGGAAACTAAGCCGGAGCCAGAAGCCAGGGGATCAAGATATCACAGGGTCAAAACAAGCCAGTTCAAAGCACAGGAAAAGTGCAAGGGTCAGGTCACAAGAAGGAGAAGCTGACAACCGCTCAGGTTTAAATAGGCAGTTTACGCCCAATTAATTAACCATGTAATCCCGGGCACCATTGTATTAACCAGGGTAGCTCTTCAATGTGGATGTCTACATGCATTTCTGCGGACATAGGTGTGTACTTGGCCATGCACACATATATGCATGTGAGATAGGGACCTTAGATTGTAAGCTCCTTGAGGAAGGACTGATGTAAATGTACATTATGTAAATTGTAAATACCAACAATAAATAAATATGCAGTTTCTGTGCAGTATTTTGGTGCTATAGAAATACTGGAAATACTATTTAAATTCCTGCAACCATCTCCAGACTAATTCTTTTTGTGTGCCCTATCCCATGGGTTCTTGGAAAATAGACCCATCGGATGGCAAAATCTGGCAAGCATCTATCTAGACATCTATTATAGATTCAATCATTTTAGCACAATGTCTACATAATGCCACATTGTTTACAGTTCTGTCTGTTTTCCTTGCAGTGCCCGCTGTGCCATCACTCTACATCAAGGTTCTGAATAGCACAGCTATCCAGGCAGCCTGGGAGCCATCAATCAAACTGGGTCAGAATGAGGGCTTCAAACTGTATTACCGCAAGGTGCTCATGCCAAACTACACAGGGCCTATGCTTCTGCCCAGCAACGTTACAGCGTACAACATCTGCAGACTGGGTAAGCACTACATAGTGTGTCCTACATGCTCAGTCATGCTCAATGATGTTCTCTCTGGTCCCAGTGCTCTCATATATATTATGGTTTGTACAGAGAGTGCAGACAGGAGTCTTGTACAACACCTCTGTGTCCTATAAGTCTAATCAGGCAGACTATCGGCTTTGATTAATCTGCCGGTAATAATGCCAACTATGGGTGTATAATGTTCATGGGAATATCACATGATTTATCATATTGCCTCTCTCAGTGTATAGGGTCATTATATGACTGATTTTATTGTCCTTCTGTGATCCGGTGGTTTGCTTGTGTGCTGAATGTCCAATTTTTGGCATGGAGGCACCTTTATTTATGAAACGTAGACATAAACCTAGTGTTATCTGTTTACAACCTTCACCGCTGCTGTTCATTCTCCTAATTTTGCTAAAATGACATTGACATTTACAGCAGTAACATTAGATTAAATGCCAGGTTGGCAAAATGACTGCATGATTTTATCTTGCTGTGTCATACAGTGGCATTTAAAGCTGTCATTTATCATTGCACAGTTCTCTCAATACAAGTAGAATGTGTGTATGTAGAGGAAATACAACACATAATGCGGAAGATAAAAGTAATATTAATTTAGTAAACTCTAACAGACCTGAGCAGAAAGACACAAGATGAGTGTCAGGACAAAGTATGATTCTGCGTGTCATCAATAAATCTTGAATTGGATTAGTGAATACACGTGGTATGGTTAAATGCCATGTAAACCTATTATTACTCAAGGTGCTATGGACTTGTTATTTCATAGTAAAACCTGTTACCCTTAAGAGGTACATAACGTATGTTTGGAAAAAATACCTGGCATAATCAAAGTCTTTACTGAGTCTGATATAACACTTTGCTGTTTTTATCAAATGCTACCTAAACTATGAAACACAATAGAATTTAAAGCTCAACTCCAGGGCAATAAAAAGTTATCCATTGCATAGGGGCGTCCCCCACACTGCAAGGGTTAAATGCTGGTTTATGCCTTGGGGACATGAAAATGCTGTTTTACTTACCTGATCCCTGCTCCCTTTGGGATGCTAAACCGGTCCCTGCAGCTTCTTCTCCCCTCCGCTACAGTGGTCTAAGGACTGCTAACATTATCCGGTACAATTCAGGCTCCATAGACTTGCATTGCACATGAGTACGTCAAGGGACAGCCCACAGCCGGAGCGGAGGGGAAGAAGAGAAGAGCACTGACTTCTGGGGGAGTGGGGATCAGGTAAGTAAAACTGCTTTTTCCTGTCCACTGGGCATAAACAAAGTTACCCCTTGCAGTACAGGAGCAGCCCTACTGCAAGGGGAAACTTAAAATAATTGATATAGTTACTCTTAGGTGCTGATTTGTATTGAAGAGCAGATACTGCTGTCTTCAGAACAATCCAAACTGTGCCTACGTTTTACACTTATTCATAACATGCAGAACGTGGTGTTGATGCTGTGTTGTCCTTAGGAGTGTTCTATGCCCTGATCTGTCAAAGCCATGTGACCAATTTTTACTTTCTCCCGACACCTTGTTTCCTAATTATTAAAATGTAGGACTTTGCTTGTTTTAGGACCTTGCACGTTTGTCATTATTTGTAAATAATAATTTGTAAATAATAATTTGTTAAATATACCATGTTTGCAAATCCAAAACACATATAAATGAGATGATTCATGACAATCCCAACTGACTTGATTTCTGAAAATAATAGTTGCCTGGATGTCATGTTAATCCAATGCCTTCAATAGTTTTTCAGTCACTGACACAGAAGAAGTATGCAGATTATCAATTCTGACTTCCCTCTGATGATGATGATGATTATGATGATATTTCTGGTCCTCTTGCCCAGAATTGAACTCTTGTGTCATGTTTTGTGTCTAGACCCCCTAGTGGTGTATGAGGTGAAGTTACTGGCGTATAATCACCATGGAGATGGAAACTCCACAGTTCGTTTTGTATCCTTGAAAGAGGCATCTGCTCGAGCAGGTAAATGTTTACAATACCTTTTACCTTTCCTCATCTCTCTCCTGGAGAACTAGCAGCATAGATAAGATTTCTAAGCCAATAGTAAACATCCTGGAAGGCCAATTGTCTGTGTCTACTTATCCAAAACCTTGACTGCTCTTCTCAGCTTCATAAGGTGTGATCTCAGACAGAACTTGTTGTAGATCTTTAAGTCTCAAGAGCCCGTAGTTAGAGTTGGATGTCTGGATCGAACACAGGAGATACAGACATTGCTCCTGGAATTTCTTTCTTTCAAAATGTATCATTCATTTAAAGGAATGTCTACTTAAGACTCAGCCTTGGCTTCCCTTTCTTACCCACTCGCTTCTTGTGCTGTGAGTGAAAACTAACATTGTAGCCACCCGAGTCATAAAAGCCTCTTAAAATAACAGACATCATCTAACACAGGGTCGCCCACAATTTTTGTGTTAAGATCTACTTTCCAAATGACAAGCTACATGAGATCTACCAACGGAAAAAAAAAACTCCTTCGCTCTCTCTCTCCTGGCTGTATCTCTTCGCTCTCCGGGCTGTCTCTCCTTGCTCTCTCTCCTGGTTGTCTCTCCTTGCTCATCCTCCTGGCTGTCTCTCCTCTCTCTCCTTGCTGTCATTCCTCGTTTTCTCTCCTGGCTGTCTCTCCTTGCTCATCCTCCTGGCTGTCTCTCCTCTCTCTCTCCTTGCTGTCATTCCTCATTTTCTCTCTTGGCTGTCTCTGTTTGCTCTCCTGGCTGTCTCTCCTTGCTTTCCCCTCTGGCTGTCTCTCCTCTCTCTCTTTCCTGGCTGTCTTTCCTCTCTCTCCTGTCTGTCTCTCCCTGCTCTCTCCCCTGGTTTACTTTGCTGCAACAGTGTATTGCAATGGGCTGTGTAAACTAATATTCTTTGCTGTAATACATAGCACATCAACCACCAGTATCCACCAGAAAGGTGTCAGGGAGCTTGGCTCAGCAGACTCAGGCTAGTAGGTAATCATGTCCTGTGACCAAAATACATTGTAACACATTTGTTACAGTGTGTTTATAAATGATGTCTGACAATGCTTGATACACAGAGCCCTGCAGATTATACAAGGAGCTGCAATGCTTCAGGGGGCTCTACTTGTACCTCTACATTGACCGGACCCTGATCTGAATAAACACCTGTCACTCTTCTAAATGTTACTTGTGCTTACACGCAGAATGTCGTTTGCCCTGTAAAAGGCTTATTGTTCATGTTGTAAGTAAACACATCAGGGAAATTAGTTGATACTGCCAATGAATTCTATAGTGCACCATACTATAGTGCACCATACTGTGTTAGTGTCATTGAATATTGTCCTGACACACTGCCTTGTGTTTCTCTACATAGTTCTGAATCCATCCTGTAACTGCGTGATTGATGAGCAGAAGGCAAAATCATCAGCCACTGGTATCATCATTGGAATCCATATTGGTGTCACCTGTATAATTTTTTGCATCTTGTTTCTCATGTTTGGATACCGCGGGAGGTAAGAGAAGAAACACAATTTTTATCATTATAGTGATGAACAGTGAAAGATGGTACTATGGACAAAACCAAAAAACTACAAATTCAGTTTCTTCTCGTCCGTTGATGAAATCTAAAACCGTTGGGTTATACTGCCACCGACAGGATTGGACACTGGCAAACTGTAGGCCAGCTACTGATAACCTAGCCCACTACCAGCATGCCTAGTTTTTGCTGATGTGAGAATGGGCCTGGGGGAATGGATGGTCTCTTTTTACAGCTCTGCTGTGTTAAGGCAATTTTTTGTTAGTAGCTTTTTTTTCTTAGATTTTTTTTTCCAATCAAGACTTTTCTCTACATCGTTGCTGGAGCTTCATCTCTTTATTGCAGCTTTCTGGCATGGTTGTCTTTATCCTGGCTTTTGGAGTACATTGGCTGGACCTCGCTGGACTGGCTGTGCGGCGATAGCCTAGAAGTGACCTTCAGACTATGTTGCCTGCTGGGCGTTTTCCAGACTCTGTTCTTGTAAAAGCTAGCTCAGGAGCGCTATCTCGGTCCAGAGCTGTTGGCATTGGCTCACTGTTGGCCCTGTTTCTCAAAACTCAAGTTAGTTCTTGGCCCTAGATCCTAGGCCTTGTAATTGGCATTCCAGATTACAGGGCTTCTGTGGTATCCTAAACACAAATTTGGGGATGTTGCCATGGTCATTTTAGCTAGGACAGGGGCACTTTTAAGGTGCTTTTCCACCAGATGATAGTCATAAACAGCCAACAAAATGCTCCCTTATGGAAAATATTTTATTATTACTTTTTATTAGCAAATAGGCCATTTGCATTGTGTTAGTTGATGGAACATGTACTCTTGAAATCTGGTGGTTGGCAGGATCAGTTATAACACTAAACTGTAGATTTTTGCAATAGAAAAGAACCAGGAGCAGTTGCATGCAATATACAACTTTATAAATGAGATAGTATTGGCTTTATATAGTGGAGCATGTGCCATGTGTCTCTGGAGGGTCAGTCCAGCTTCTTTGGGAAAATGAAAAAGCACATATGTTCCACCATATGTTCTCATCATAATGGGACAGCAGAGAAAGTTAATGAAGGTAAGGAAAATGTAGGGCTGTACAGTAGTAAAGGGGCTCTCTCAAATATGTATTTGAATCCACAATAGTCATTTTAAGAGCTTTGAAATGAAATACCAAGTGACACCCATGAATACTGCATGTGTATCCCATAAAAAATATCCTGCAGAAAAAGTGTGGGCCTAAATCCACTTTTAGCATTGCTCTATGCTCAGTTTAAGTATATTGTATTATATAGCATTCTTATATGAGATATCATTCAGTGTTCTTTGTTATTGTGAAAGCGGACCTTTACACTCAAAAATATAATTCTACCAATGCATCCCTCTATGTATGATGATTAATAACAAGGGCATGTCAGGTGTAAAATGCTGGGATTTTTATATACTTACAAGTGCAAATGACTTGAGTTTGCCAATGCAATGCACACTGGGATTACCTTGTCATCAGCAGAGCATTGCTGGGAAATCTCATCAGTAATCTCATGAGATCTCAGGGAAATGCTTTTTCCTCCTCTGAGATGATGTGCATGGTCACATGTCCTAGTCACATGTGCCAGAAATCCAGGAAGTAATAGGAGAGCTAGTAATCTGCCCTTACTAAATATGGCCACTGTCAGAAGAATGGGGAAGAAAAGAGAAATAAGGTATACAAAGAATACAAAGCCGGCAATTATCTAGAAGTATGTGTTTGTAGATTGTCATTACTAAACATTTCTAAATGTGTGCTTGTTGTTATTTTGAAGATATGGGTAAAGCTCCGCTTTAAATTTAAGGTTAAGAAATTATACAAATGTAACACAATTAAAGAGTTGCTATCCCCCCAAAAAAGAATAGTATGCAGGCAGAAAAGGCCATAAGTATTGTCAAAGTGACACCTTAAAAATATGAATATGAAATCTTCCACATTAAAGCTGAGGTGGAAGAACACAAAACATTTACATTTATATAAATACAATGTAAATGAGATTAACACAGCTGAAATGCCATTATATTAAGTTACAAATCTAGAGGAACCAGATATATGAGTTTACCTAATCTATGGTGTCATAACTCCAGTCCCCAAGGTTTTAGTATACTGAAAATGTTTATAAGCTTCCTCTCTCATTCATTTGTAAATTTGAATATGAGTACTTTAACATTTTGCTGTGGCCTGGTTTGCAAAGTGAATTCCCACTGGAGAATCAAAGTGATTATCATTTAATGTCAAGCACTGGTGCTTCACGCTTGTGTAAAGTTTCTGTTTAGGTTCCCTAAAATAGATCTTTCTTGAGAAGCAGTTTGTTACTGTACATTTTATAAGCATTTCTTCAGCATTAAAAGAGAACTATGGGGTATCCTTTTTATCCCATAGTTCTTTTTAGGGTCCTCCTGTGACCCAAAGCTCAGCATATAGCGAGCTATTGCCCGCCATATACTGAGAGTGCCGTAGCCGGGACAGATCCCGACATTACTGTCGAGATCCACCCAGCTGGCTGATTGACAGTGGGCTTTGCCTATCTAGAAACAGAACCAGCTGTGCCCGCCCCCTCCCTGTCCGTTCCTCCAGTCAGCGCTGGAGGATCGAAGAGTGGAGGGGGAATCCCTGCGGGGAGCGGTGACTGACAGTCACTACTCTCTCTAAGCAACTAAAGTTTGAGATAATATTGCTTGAGATAATATTGGATTGAGGGTGATTAACTATAGTTTTCAAAGCACAAGGGGCGTACGGGCTTCTTCACAGTAAGAGCGGTCAGGGTATGGAACTCGTTGCCGCAAGGAGTGATCTCAGCTAAGAGTGTTGAATCGTTCAAAAAGCATTTGGACGATTTCCTCAGAGACCGCAACATACAGGGGTACAGGTACACTTAGGAAGAAGATGGCACATGGACTCATCCACACTCATACACATGTAGATTCACATGTATACACTCTACAGGTTAGACTTAATGGACCTGTGTCTTTTTTCAACCTCAAATACTATGTAACTATGTAATTAAGCATTTCTTTCTGATAACAATTTAAAAAAATGTATATACATGTGTTGTAAATTTGCATTTTCTGTTGCTAGTTCTATATAAATACTTTGCTTATACTGCTTACTGCAATTTAGTGGTAGAAATATATAAAAATTAAAAAAACATATTTATTATAATTGATAAATCTGGCCTGGGGGAAGGCCTGAGAGAAAACTGATGTTTTAATCTCCCTTTGCTTATATGTTCTTGGTTATTTAAATGAGAGGTTTCATTGTTGATTACAGGGATGTTTGTTAGGCTGCTGTTTGTAGAGACTCTACCTTGAGTATCTACATGGCATTGTGGATCAGATCATCATCTATTTGTAGATGAAAACCTTAGTTTAATAAAAAATATTTATAAAAATCAATAACGCTGTTTGTTTAATAAATATTAACGTAGCTTACTTGTAAAAAATAACTACCAATTTATTTTTTGCAGGACTTTTTTATTGTTTTTGCCTTTTTTTAACCTGTGTATTAAATCCTGGCTAATACGGTACAAAATATTTAATACTTTAATTAAAATATGCTTTATTTGTTGGTGTTGTTCTGGATGATCCTTGCACACTGTGAAACTAAGACAGGACAAAACAAGGATATGATATGGTCTACTAAATGTTTTTCTTGTTCTTCAAAGGCTCATGAAGTGTAAAGCTGCACAGGACCCCATCTCAGCTCCTCAAGGACCTGGGGGTATCAATGTCAGACTTTCAGATCGAGCAGGTCACAATGGTGATAGCTTGAATGATGGTGAAATTCCAGAAACCAAGGGCAAAGTTGGTGAACTCAGTGAGATGGAGCATTTATTTCACCATTCACCTTCTCATCGAAATGGGGTAAGACACATTTTTATGCAGCTGAAGATAAGATATTGCTATTAATAGACATACTGTAATCTATTGGCAGCTATGTTGTTGGAAAATGTCAGCAAACTGGTAAACATTTTGCTTCTCCTGTCCTGTAGTTTCCTTATCCTCCTATGCTTCATGTTACATTCTTCCCAGTTATTTATAGCGTTTAATTGTTTATTTTGTTGTATTTCATGTGCATCTCTGTGGCCGCTTTTTGTTTGAGTATTTGTTTTTGCTGTTTGTTGAGCATTTCATACCAACCAACAACTGAAAATTCAGAATCCAATCCCCTCAGCACCACCAGGTCCAAATTAAAGGAGAACTATGGGGTCAGGGGTTTTCCCCATAGTTCTCCTTAGGGTAACGGGAGGACACAAACTAGTGTTCTCCCGCCACCCTAAGCTCAGTATACAGCGAGCTACAGCTCGCGGTATACTGAGATGCCGCAGCCGGAGCGGATCCCGACATCAATGTCAAGATCCGCTCAGCTGCGTGAGTGACAGCTGGCTCTGCCTATCTAGAGGTCCGTTCCGCCAGTCAGCGCTGGCAGATCGGAGCGGGGAGGGGGGAATCCATCCCCTCTCCTGTCACGGCAGAGAGTCGTGACAGGATCGAGAAGTGAGCGAACACCGGCATGGGTTCGCTCACCTCCCGATCTACTGAGCCGACCTGTGACAGTCTCATTGTCACAGGTCGGCTAGAACTATGAGGTGAGTGAAAAGCATTTTGTTAGGTGTGCAGAGGGAAGCGCGGTCACATATATATAAAACATATTCTGGAACACTATCCAGATATTGTGTTAATGATATTAAAGCCCAACTGAACTTCCAGTTTAAGACCCCAGGGCAGTTCAGCTGCATGGATCCACTGACATAAACAATCCCATATATTGCTATGGGGACCATTCATGCGGGTCCGCGTGATCCAAACCGCCCCTCGCTTGAACTGCACAGCCACAGCATGAGTAAAAAATGTCTGTCTGATGCTGCTATGTAGTAGAGAAGCCCCCTGTCTGTCTGTGTGGAAGCAGTGGTCTCTTTGCAGAGGTCCAGTGCGCCCCTTGCTGAGTCAGAGCTAAAGCTCTAAAATCAGCAGGGAGCATGAGCTTTGCCGATTGCATAACTAAAGGTCTGACTCAAAAGGAGATGTGTCGGGCTTCTGTAGAGTGACCACTGCTTCGTCACAGAGAAGTAGGGTACTTTTCTGCACTATGCTGGCAAGGAACATGCTTTTCTACTCAGGCTGTGGCTTTCTAAAGAAGCTGAACTGTATAACTTTGCATACCTTTTTGCTTTAATGCACCTGGACTGTATTTACTTTTGCTAATTTAAACTAAAAGTTAAATTGCGCTTTACTATAAGGTGGCCTGCCATACTCGGTAACAGCTCACAGTGCACCACAAGCTCGAACAAAAACTATTCTCACATATCTGTGCAACTTGAACCAAACATGGGTTAGAGATCGTTTAGATGTTTTCAACCTTATAGATTGTCGCTGGTAAAATTATAATAATATATTGAGAACCTAAGTTCACAACACATAAATTGTAGGGATGCACGGAAATTTCGGCCGCCGAAACATATCGACTGAAAATTGTACTTTTGGCAAAATGCTGAAAGTACCATCTTAATTGTGGTGCATGCCTGCTTTCTCTCCTCCCCGGTGTGCACTGCTCTGAGTCCCCTGTGACACAGCGCAGCATCCAGCGGGGAGGAGAGAAACTGTCAGAGGAGGCCGAGCGGTGCGGCGGAGGAGAGCGATGTGAGTGTTCAGCGTGTCACAGGAGGCCGGGCTATCCTGATGCACCACCCCACTCGGTCTCTGTGACAAATCAGGATGGAGAGCAGTATGGGGGCAGAGACAGCCGTCAGCTGTAACAGGAGGTTGAGCCGGCGGTGCATGTTCTGCATCCTGTGATAGCGAGTCAGGATATAGAGCGGGTAAAAAATTAAGGACAGAATATGTTTACTGTGTCCCCAATTATGAATGCATGGGAAGTGCTCTACATCACTTCCTGTTCATTCATGATTGTGGATATAGTAAATACACTATCTCCACGAGTTATAAATTAACAGGATTCCTGTTCATTATAACAGGGGCTGCAGAAAAAGAGACTGAAGACTCTGTTTTCTCAATCCCTTTTTCTATTTTAAAAGGGAAATATCAGGGGTCTGTTTAGTTAGACCCCTGATATTTCCCCAGAGCCCCCGATAGTAACGTTTTGAAAATACAAATATTTATTAAGAAAATAAAATATAAAAAATAAAAAAAGGTTAGGAAAAAAAGAACTTTCGGTTTTGTTTCGGCCTGACATTTTTTTATTTTCAGTTTCGGTTTCAAAAATTAATTTTGATGCACCTCTAGTATCTACCATGCATACATTCCCCACAACAGGTGAATCTTTTAAATGTTTTTTTACATGCACACAAAGAGATTAGTTTGATTGAAATCCACTTTTGAATGTGTGTTAAGCTACATTCACACTGTGCGAATGTGCGATTTGGGATTCCTGTGGCAGGAATCCCAAATATTCAATTTAGAAGTAGCCGTTGTCACCCGTTCAAGTTAATGACCGGATGACAGTGGCCTCATCTGTAAGCGGCACTCCACATTTAATTGTATGTGCTATGATTACATGCAGTTTGGAAAAGATCACTGCTTTTGAATGCACAGTAGATGCATCCAGGGACAGTGATCTATTCCAAACCGCATGTAATGGAATCCCAAAATGCATAGTGTAAATAGGGCCATAAAGAGGAAGTAAAGCTTTTGAAAATAAAATTGATAATTGCTAGGCATTGTATGGCAAAAGAGACTGTTTAAGTCTCTTCTGCCTTTAACCCCTTCCCTGCCACCGACGCAAGGCATACAGCGAAGCAAAAACGTTTCCAGCTTGCCAGCTCAATATGCCTTACGTCACCTGCATTCACCCTCCTGCTGTAAGCTCATGATCGCTTCAGCCAGTCAGACATTTTAAGCATATGTCTTTGTTGTTACATAAAGTAAGTGCAAATCTTATTTTTTCTTTTTCAGCAACAGTCTGCTCCATCTTGTCCTTTGGATGAAACATTGGTTTCTACCATCACTCCAGATGAAATCAGCTTTACTGAAGAAGACCCTCCAGGGCACCTTACAGCCACAACCAAGAATTGAGCCTCTGATCTTTCTCTAAAGCTGGTCCTGAATCCTTGCTGCTCCTGTCAGCCAAGTCTGATGGAGCTTTTTTTTTTACACAATCTCAGGTCTCCATTTTCCAAACCCTGTGATCCCTTTATATCCTTTTGATAGAATTTTGTACTTTTTTATTATTATATGCGAGAACGCAGCACTTATTGACTGTTACTCTCCAGAGACTGTGGGCAGCCATCTCTTTTTCACTATCACTACATGTTATCGCCTGCTTGAAGCCCTCTGGCTGCAGGACATACAGGTTTTAAAGAGAACTTGACTTATTTCATGTCACTATCCACTGATAATTCTGATCTGCTCTTTTGTAATGTTGTGTCAGATGATTGTTGAGACTCCTGGGAATATCCCAGGGATGCCTGCTGCTCTTGTAGCCTGGTTGGACTTTTAATATTTCATTTTTTTTTTGTAGTTTTCATTTTTTGTTCTCTATTTTGACTCGTTATGAGACGGATATAGACTGTAACAAGAGTCCGTACGCAGAGGTCATTCACCACACCTACCTCAACCGGGATGAATGTTTTCAAGTGTGATCTGTCTATTATTCTTGATTCCTTCATTCATGTCCACCATGGATATGTGAAGTGGATGTTTATTATTTAGGTTTTTTTTATTTTGGGTATTTTAAGGGAAAAATATTGCATGAATAGCTGAGTCTGTGTAAGTGAGCCACCTGAGGAGGAATATGTGGTAGCAACACCTGCCTCCAGTTAAGGGATTTCCTCCTGATCCAGTTTAAGGAATTTTGTTCCCCAAAGTTTATAAAAGTTTTGTTCCCCAAAGTTCTTACCGAAAATATTTTAGGCCAAACCCCATTCAATCCATGTTGTACATATCTACCATACTTTACTGCTTGTGCAAGTTATATTGCCCAAGGAAACTCTGATTATGTGTAATACATATACACAATACCAATTATTATTTCCAGTATTATATTATGTTCCTGTCTAAACTGGATGGTTACCCATGCTGCCTTCTCCTAAACCTACGAGCCATTTCAAAATGGTTATTTTAGTTATAGGTAGTGCTAATGGATTGAATCGTTCCGTGGTTCCCTAGGGATCTCCCTACTGAGGTTCCTAGCTTTCTCCTTGCTTTAACCATTGTGATGTCAAGCAGAATAATCTGCCTTCACTGACTGTTTTAGAACAGTCCAGTAGCTTGCGAAAAACACTCTTGTAATGGTCACAGCTGGCAGAATGAGGTGAGAACATGTAGACTACTTTCAGTGTGGCCAATAAAGAGAAACCCAAGCAATTTTTTTTCTATTTTGATTTTGGACTGAGTAGGGAAGGTTTTAAATGTTTATCCGGTTTTTATTGCTGTCTCCCATTGAGGAATTTTATCCCTACCTACTAGAGGTTCTACTTATTTTCAGGTGACATCCATATATTAAACGTAAGTGCACATCCTCCCGAAAGAGACAAGGACAGAAATAAAAACCTAAATAGGATTCTATCTCTTTTACACTCTACCCAAAAACTAAGAAAAAAATTTGGCTGGAGGAACCATAAGGAACAAGCATTCCGCCACCAAAATCTTATTAGTAAGGCAGAGTGGCTCTCTAAAATGAATGCCAGGAACAATGCTTCTGCCTGTTTTGTCTAAACCAGGGTGGCACAGAAGAAAGTAGGGTTATCGCTTTCCTCCTTATGTGGCTCATTAACAATAATGTTGTGTTGAGGTAACATTCCCTTCATTACAATGATTTACTTTGAAGTCCAATGTGATGCACTTCCAAACTTTGAACACACAATTGCTACCTCATTTTTAATACTTGTTTTACTTCTTTTGCTTTTGTAGAAGTTGAGCTATGTGTATTGCTGATTTTGTTTTTGTAAGTGTGTGAGTGATGTATTGGAAGAGAATCATCATGGTGGTGACTATAATCTTTTCTCATCTTCTTTGCCTCTGGCACCAGTCTAAAGGGGAAGTATTGTCAATAGATTTTGGTTAGCGTTATGTTTAAAAAAGGCTTTCTTTCATTGTAAATTACAAAAAAGCCCTTTTCTCATAAGCTGCTTATAAGCTGATGGTGTACACAGACATCTCAAATGGGGGTTTACTCCAACTACAAGGCACTCACTAATTCACTGTTACAAAATCGGCTCTTACATTGACCTCGGGACTCATAAATATAGGATGGGTCCTTCCAAAAAAGATACTTCAGTTTTGGGTAGATGCTGGAAGGTTTAATCACCCCTCGAATTCTCATATCCCTCAGGAATTTTGGTGGTGAAATATTTACACCTAGGATAACCTATTGAACAATACACTTCATTTTTTTCCCTATGGCTTGGGGAGGTGTAAAGGGAATTCCATTGCATAGGTAATTCAGCTAGAGTCCCCAGTAGATATAAAAAGAATAAGGCGTCCACAAGAAATAGAAATTTTAGTTGCACTTTCCTTTTAAGAGCAAATATCAACATGTTAAATAAATTATTGCTTGCAAAACAGGCAGACCTTCAGATGGTTCAACCAATAATTGAGACGTATCCATGTCATGTGATACATGACATGTATCACTTGTGATTTAATTTAAGCTTGAGGCATACTGTAGCACAATGGTCTTATCCATCATGTGCGAGATGTCAAAACTGCCTAAATATAAAGGGACCAGTAAACCTAATATACAGATTTATGTAAATATATTATTGCCATTCACAAATATGTGTAAATATTCCTTTATCTGTACAAAACATGAGGTGTCTGTCATTGTATAGATAACCTATTCTCAAAATTAGTCTACAGAGGCTGAGAAGGCATGCCTTTTATAAGAGAAGGATGATTAGAGACAGTGTGTGGACTGTTTCCCCTAGGGCCATTATAATTTGGTTATCCTCAGCTTTTATAAGCTCCTTAAACAAATATATATATACCTGATCTAATATAGGAGGTCCCCTGCCTCTCCTCACTTCATTATGTCACATTATGGCATTAGTGTTTAAACAGTGGCTGTTTACATGAATCAATTTTCAGCACAGTGGGAAGGAAATAGCAGGGACCCATTTGTATTCAGCCATTCTTCAGCACTTTGAATAAATGTCTCAAGATTAATTAAAGAAAAGATCACATGCGACTTACAAGAGGCTTCTGCAAATCGTGGCCTTGTTCTCCTCTATGAGAATACCAACCTTGAAAAAACACAGAATTTACAACATTTTAAGAACGTTTCTCGTGGTTACCACCGGATAAAAATGTATATCTCTGTTTAGGGTTATATTGCAATTTCCTTTTTGCATATACTGCACATATTAGTCATTTAGACGCAATGGGTCTGGTATAGTCCAACAATGTCCTTTTGAGAATGGTCATGTTCTTTTTTCACTTTCATTCTTTGTCTTCCCATTTGATGCCCGTGCTAGATCCTGACACCTTTGCTGTTACACCAGACCTGTATCAGTAGTCCAAAGCCAATCTTCATGATCTCAGTACTCATGTCCTAAAATGCTTTGTGATGCTATAAAATTCTGATCACATGCCTATATTTTAATCCCTATATTTCATTCCTGTTTAAATCTGAGAATAGAAGCTGACAATGGAATGCAAGAATGTTTGTGACCTCTAACCGGAGAAAGGTTTTCTTCTTGATCCATACAGCCTAGGGCTGGCCATACACTATGGGGCTGATGTATAAAACCTCCGCTCTTCACATAGCTGAGCAAATGCTGTTCAAAAGGCATGGATGGAGCTGAGGAGCAAGGGAAAAGTTGCTGCTCGGCTCCATCTAGTGGCAGTAATGCTGTATGAACGACATTAGACCTGCTATATGCTGGGCGGAAGTTTTATACATCAGCTCTTAAGGCCTCATTCACACCAGAAAAGGCCGTGCTGTATGCACAGCCGTGTCAGGCAGCTTCTGGGAAGGACAGGTGCTGGGTGTGATTAGTATGCAGCCCCTGTCCTTCTCTATGGGAATATGCGACCATGTGCCGCCCTACGCTCACCCCACGTGCAGGTCCGTATGGGTGCGGGTGTCCTGGCTCGGATGCAGACAGGATCCATCCTGTCAGAGTACGAGTACGGACACCCGCAGGGCGGGTGAGCTTGGGGTGATGTATGGCCGCGTACTCCCATAGGGAAGGACAGGGTCTGTGTACTAATCACACGCAGCACCTGTCCTTCCCGGGAGCTGCCCGATCCATGCCAATCTCCCCTGCCAGACTATTGTATTTTATTATTATAATACGCAACCAGTGACTGCAATTGATTGGCCACAGTCAATCTTGGGATTCAATTTTTCAAACTGGTAATTTTTGTCGAACAGGCGGGGAAGGGGCCACACACTGACACATTTTTGGTATGTGTTATAAATAGGTTTACAGTTATCGGGGACTTTTCTATATAAACAGAAGACATGAAAAGTGGAAGTGTTACCAAACTAGAAAGGTAATCACTGATCAGTTACCATGGGCACCCCTACCCCAACACACACACTTATTCTTTCGTATTTTGTATAGTACATCTTTAAAAACCCAGAGCTATGTTTATTATGAGTAGTGGGGTAAATCTATTTGTCCTGTCTGTGTACCCCAAAAAATTGATAGAAAGAGATCAGATATTAAAAATTCAAAACAAATGCAGTGCCTTTTCTAATATTTTCCTTAAAACACATCCCTCAGCTATCGAGTGATGCAAAAAAAATGTACATAATATAAGATACTTCCTCTTAAAGCTTTCTAGTGCAAATGACAAAAGAAGACTTTGGGGCTAATTTATAACAACGTGAGCAAAGACAACTGGATCAGACGTGGAGCTGTAATGCAGAGCGGCCAGATCTTAAAAAGAAACACAAAGCTGTTTGGCTGTTACCGGTGAAATCTCCACTTTGACGTCAGTTCCTTTGCTTGAGTTTCCATAAATGAGCCGTCTATCTGTGGGCCTCTTGCATAAAGCCAGCTAAAGGAAGAACTTTTCCTAATGTAGCCAGTTAGATTCTTGTATTTGTGTTCCTAGTGCAATTTGATTGGTTGCGACGGGCAACATGAACGGTTCCTCCTTCAAATTTTTTTGCATGGGCTCCTGTCTGTTTTTATTGACAGTGGAGACAATTGAGGGCTGAATCATTCCTGTGGTTTTATATATACAAGTTTTTTTACTGTAAAGACTTTTTTTTAAATCTTGGTGCTGTATTTCATCATACAGCGAAATGGGTTTGAAAAAAAACAAGCAAACAAAAAAAAAAGACACGTGTGAAAAGTGTGACGGCACATCTCTGTGGACCTCCCTT